ACAGGGCACTGTCATTTCCACTCAGCTCGTCTAATTCCAGATTAAATCGTAGCCTTTTCCCCCCGTTTGGTAATTTATGGAAATAACAACTAAGAAAAAGAGGATTTGAGTAATGACATCTTTAAACTTGTCAGGATAATGGCTCTGTGAATGAGGGAGCCCATGGCACTGTTGCAGGCTCCCAAAGAGGCTCTCTGTACTGTACCTCCCCCATTTTCAGTCTTCATCTTCTCTTTGTTTCACTGTGTTCCTATCTCTTCTGCCGTGGTTCCTTTTTTTTTCTTTTTTTTTTTTTTTCATACCACGTCTACAGTTTCTCCTTCATCATTCTACCTTTTTTTTGTTCTTTTTGGTGTGCTGTAAAGCCCAGAAAAATAATACATTAGCATTTGGATATTTTTAAATCAAGTGGGAAATCTTGCCAGAAAGTTTTTTATTGTTCTTTTTTGGGACCTACTATAAGGATTTAAACCAATTTTTAGAACAAACTGACATTTTTAGAACCCAACCACAAGTAAAACGACTTTTATATTCTGTAAAACACAATCGATGTTCTGCTTAACCTTATAGTTTGATTTGCTTGCATATGCTAAGCTAAGGTTGGCATGAGATCGTTGCTGGTGGCAAAAGCAAAGTGAGCACAGAGTTTATCAAATAGATCTATAATTTACTTGCATATGCTTAGCTAAGGCTGGCAGAAGACCTTCACTAGTGTGAAAAATAAAGTTAGCAGAGAGGAAATCTTGAAGCTTCCATAATAAGAGCTTTATTATAATCCACTTCGTAGCTATCAAGACCAAAAATGTGGAAATACGCCAAACATTGGGGTCCTGCTTCAAGACTTATAACACATATTTTAGGCTCTACCATATTGCTGCAAACCCAATGCACTGTCTAGCATTAGCATACATTTAATCCACCTTTTCAGGATGACAGCTGTTCTTTCTCAGATAAAAAACTTTGGATATATCTCACTGAATGATGTGAATTAATTGTTGCAGTAAAATGCATTGAGATTATAAGTCATTTTTTCTTAAAATAAGTGCATTTGTTCTTGAATTGAGGAGATAAAAGAGACATTTTGCCAATGGAACAAGACAATTTAGATTTAAAAGAAGAAAACACAATTGCATTGTCTTATTTCAAGTGAATATTATTTAATTATCTTATTTTAAGAGTAAAAATCCTGATTCCATTGGCAAACTATCTCATTTACCTACTCAAATCAATGGTAAATACACTTCATTTAAGAAAGTTTTACTTATTGCTAGATTGTTTTTCCAGATGAATTTAAATAAATACACTTAACTCAATTGAGTTGAGAGGAGATAGCCTGCTGGAAGGGGAATGTCAAAGCTGAAACTTTCTCATAAAAAAACATTTTTCTAAAATAAATCTACAGATTATCTAGAGGGGTGCGAAATTATTTTATATTCATTGTTATTATTGTATATATAATACTTCTGTTTATTAAAAAACATAGGCTACACTGGGAAAGTCATTTTTTCTTAAAATAAGTGCATTTGTTCTTGAATTAAGGAGGTAAAAGAGAAATTTTGCCAATGGAACAGGATAATTTACACTCAAAATAAGAAAGCACAACTGCATAGTCTAATTTCAAGTGCATATTATCTAATTATCTTATTTTAAGACTAAAAATACTAATTCCATTGGCAAACTATCTCATTTACCTTCTCAAATTAAGGGTAAATACACTTAGTTTAAGACATTTTTATTCATTTGTAAATAGTTTTTTCAGTGTATATTTGTATATATTTGTTTTTAGAAATCTAAGTGGTCCAAAATATGCAAATGTTCTGGTTAAGATGCCAGCATTGCTATGACAGAAAGAAGAGAAACCAGAGTGAACATCAGTCAAACTTGAGTTTTGGTGCAGACTTAAGGAAGCTAAAGGATCGCAGATGGCACCCTCACTTTGCTGCTTTTTTCTTAACTGGTAAGCTTAACTTTTGGTTTGCATTATCGGACCTGGATACATTAGCTAAACAGTACAGTAGGACAGCCGGTGAGTGTGCAATATTTTGGTTTTGAGCGTTGGTTTTTAAAGAAAAGGGAGGTGAAATATTCGCTAAAGCTCAGCGTTTGTATCTTCTATAGGGAATGGGTGGGAGTGTAAGCGTGCGTTTTACTGGCGGGGAGGTGTTAAACTTGTAGCTATCTACTTTATGTCATCAAGACACACAGCCATTTGTTCAGCGCAGCATGATGCTGCCACTGCCATGCTTTATTTGACATTTTTTTTTTATCCATTCCAATCAAAACTGCTCATCTAATTAAAGCCCCTTCCTAAAAATATTTGATGGGTGAATGATAGCTGTCTGGGTGACAGATTCTCCCACCTAACTAGTTTTTTGTCAAAAATATAATTTCTTTGAAGACGTAGCTTAATTTCTGAGCAGCAGCTCAGCTCGTTCAAAACCTTGGTTTGGCTTGAAACCAGATACAAGAGAAATATGATTATATGTTTATAATCAAACATTATATGATATAATGTTCAGATTGGCAAAAAAAATTAAGCAAGAAAAATGAAATCCATATTTAAGTCACTTTTTCTTGTTTGCATTGGTTTGCAACTGGACAGCAACAGAATTAGTCTCCCATCGCCATCCCAGTAGGCAGCAGGGGTGATCCCAGCAGCTGTAGACGTACCACACTGGGAGGAATCAATGACGCCACGTCTGTGGCCTGTTGCTGCAGTCAAGCCAATGCCGACACACCAGTGGGGGTGTGATCACACGTGCATCATGTTTCTATTATCACCAGCAGGCAAAGGTTGACAAGTTGATTCTTTGGGGGGAGTTTTCTTTCAAACTCACACATATGGAAATAGAAGTCTGCGTATGTAGCGTCGTGCTGGGAGCAGCCTGGGTGATCCATCAGCGGAGCAGTTGATCAGTTTAGATGGCAGGGGGGAAGAGGAATCTAATTTGAGCAGCTGTAAGTGTATTTAGCGTGATGGACGTTGGTTTCTGTATCCCTCTGGTTGAAAGGAAACGCTAAACGTATCAAATGTCAATAATCATCAAATTAACCCCCCTGCACGCCTCCCTTTAGGAGGACCTACGAATCTCAATTATTTCACATAGAATGTGAAATAAGGCTCCCTCACCTTCACCTTAAGAGCTTAATATAAAAACCTTGGTCATGTTTAGTGTGAAAAATGTGCTTAAAAACTGCTAATTAATACCAGCAACCTTGATAGTCATCCTTCTGGCTCGTTCTAACACATTCTTTTGGTGTTAAAAATTATCCTATCATCAGACCCTCTCCAAACATCAAGCTGCAGCTTGGATTTTGGTTTATTCCAGGTGCTTGGAATAAAGCTGGAAATGGTGGCCTATCCAGGTCAATCCATCCATCACTGCGCGGTTACTCAGTCGGAGGACAGCTCCCTGACAGAGGTCTGAGTGGTTCGGGATTGAGATGGAGGAGCGGGAGAGTTATAGCTTCTACGCCTCCCCCCTCCTTTTTTTTTTTTTCTTGAGAGGAACCTTGACAAGGAGGACCTGCTCCAGTATGGCGTGGAGATTTACTTAGAGGGCGATAAAGGCAGAGGCTTCTGTGAAAGTCATTCACGTTTTTTTTTCATCTTTCATTGCAAATTTTTTTTCTTTCGTTTTACAGCGCCAACTGCATGTGTGTTTGTTGCACAGAGCATCTGCAACCGTTATAGGCATCCTTGGTTGGAAATCAACCGGAAAACACATAAAAGTTTTGATGAATTCATATTTTATCAGAGCAGCACAATAGCAGCAGTCTAAATAAAAAAAATGCTTTATTTAATCTGAGTAGATTTATGAAATAGAAAGAAAATCCATAACAAAAAAAGGAAATCCAAAGGAAAGAATTTCACTTCAGAATTCTTCAAAATAGGAAAAATGGGACAAAAGAACATAAAATTCAATTTTGGGAGATTTGAATATGTCTTTTAAAGTCAGACAACAGTGGTTTCCAAAGTTGGGGGAACTGCCATACATATGAATAAATAATGGATTTTGAAGATTTTTCTTAAAATGCAATTATGGAAATGTTGATATCTGTTGCACTGTAAAATCTGCATTTATACTTAAAATAATAACTTTATAGGCGGTAGTTTTGTGATTTTAAATTACATTTTAGTTTATGTCAGGGTAGTAATGTGGGGTGAAAACTTTCTTGTAAATCAAAGGTAGAGAGCTACACAGCAAATTTTGAAGAGTTAGTTCAACTCCTATGGAATTCAAATTAATACATTTGAGTAACTTCTTACTGTAGTGTGGCTCAATGTTGAGGGGGCGTGGCTCAACGTTATGCATGTCCCGATCTGTAACTGCATGCCATATTTCGGTCGCCATTTAGTGGCAGTAACTGTTCAGCCCATTCACAGGCAGCAACACGGCAGTTATGGCCATTGTCTATGTTGGTCCACACTTGTTCGAGTTGAAATGACACTTAAAGACATTGAAACGTTATTCAACAGAGTTTAAACTCTTATGTTACGTTCAACACCCTTTAGGGTTGAATTCATTTAACACTAGTGTATACCAGGAGTGGACAATTCCAGTACCTGAGGGCTGGAATTGTCCAGTTCAAGGTGAACTTTTAGATTCACCGTAGGTAACTTAGCCATTTGAATCAGGTGTGTTGGACCTAGGGTAAATTTAAAAGTTGCAGGATACTGGCCATCAGGAACTGGAATAGCCAACCCCTGGTGTATTTTGTCAGAAGTTAACACCATTATTTAAATAATATTTTCATGGGCAAAATGTGTTCTCTCCTTATCTGATTGCTTCCAACAATGTCGGGAAAAAATTCACTCCAAAGACACTGCTCACATTTTTGTAAAAAGGCTTCTCTTAGAAATTTTAAAAGGTACAAAATCTATAGATTCAAATCTATATATGGATTTAAAAAATCCATATATCCCATTTCCTGAAAACAAACTCCTTATAAAAGATTAAATGTTCAGGAGCCATAAACACCACAACGTATTCCCTCACCTGTGTGTGTCCTCTGGTGGGCTTTAAGGTGGGAACTCTTGGTGTACACCTTTCTGCAGCCATTAAACTGGCAGCGGTGGATCCTCTTCTTGTTGTCCGGTAGTTCCCCGGCCCCAATCAGGCACGCCGCCCCTTCCTCTTCATCCTTCACCTGGACTGGAAGCGTGTGCCCGGCCACTAGCCGAGCTGCACTGAGACCCACCTTCCTGGCCACTAGCTTCAGGGTAAGTGTCCCATCTGCGGAGGCTGTAAGCGTCTGGCTGGGTTTGTTAAGGTGTCGGCCCAGCTCCGGAGAAGACGGGGGAGTTAAAGAGGTGACGGCGCTCAGCTGTGCCTGGTGGACCCCTTCTGTTCCTTCTGAATTTTCTGGACCCTGCCCTTTAGGCTTGAGGTCTTTTGTCACAGCTAAGTTCAGTCTCATTGGACACATGGTCACCGAGGGAGGGCTTGGAGGTTCAGGGAGACTAGGGAGCAAGGCCTCGGAGAGGTCTTCTTCGCCGTCCTCTTTCAAGTAGGCGGGCGTGAGGAGGCCGTCGAGGTCCTGATCAAAGAGCTCTGATAGACGTTTGGGCTCAGTCTGCAGATAACGCTCCAACTCTAGGCAGGTCTGCAGCAAAGAGACATAAAAACAAAATTGCTTTCAGATCAGGTAAGTTTCCCTCACATCCCACTTAGCCATTTCATCAGACATCTGATCATCCATTATGGTTCAACATTAAAAAGAAACTGAGCCGGCATGCTCTGCACAGCTGTCACACGCACTATGACAGCCATGATTACCTGAATATTCCAGCAAAATGGCTGATTAAACCCTGATTGATTGCAAATGCTGCAGAGAAGAGTTGTTAGCAGAGGAGGTACTCCCAAACTGTGCAAAACTCCCACTGAGCAACATTTTCCAGAGCTCTGTCAAGCCAGCTTCCCCAGGGTAAAGATAGGGAGATTTATTCAGCTGTAGTTACGGTCTGCTTCATCCCTATTACTCCAAACACCTCTCTCTATGGAGAGCAAATAAAAGACCTTCATCCTCTATTCCTGGGAACTGGCATCCTGAGAAGTCTATTACTTCACAACAAGCTGGTAAGAGCCTAAGCAGCGAAGGCCTGGCGCGGGAAAAGAGACGCTCCGTGTCCAAGGATGAAGCTATTATGTTTGAACGGAAACTGCGGCGGTTTGATCCCAGGGATGGTTGTGTTTCGCTTGTACCCACTAACCCATTCTGACAGCTGAGATGGAGGCTAGCAGCTCCGCTGGGTGCGTGCAACTTTCCTCTTGGTTTGTGTGTAAATAGGCACTGACAGACAAGAGTAGCTGGTCCCATTATCAGGAATAAGACTGCACAGACTGAACACATCAGAGACGCTTAGGATCCCACTCCCGAACTCGTCTCTTTCCTTGTTTGCGCCTTCTAAAAATAGGAGGGGTGTCTGTTGCTAAGGGAGCCACATTTCCTCCTCGAAGCTATTTCTTTCCAGGAACAAAACAGGCCTTCAAATTAAAAACCTGTTTAGTACATCAGAACACACTCTACTCTCACTTCTTTTCTCCACAGAATTGTTTTTGTAGGTTCAAGATAATGAAATGGCAATAAAAAAAATGGACTATTGCTCCTTTATGTGTGCATTAGAGCTAAAATAGGTACTGATGGTGTGGAAACATGACAAGGAGTAAAATATATAGACTTAGCTTCATAGAGGTAAAGTAAAAACAAATCTGCCTCATTAACTTACATATCTTCCAACCCTTCACATCACTTCTTTACCCTTCAACTTGGATCAAATTCCTGAATCCCACAGTTTCCTTTGTCCTTCTCTACAGCAGGTGTCGACTAATTATCTTCAAAAAACCGGCAAGTCAAAGAGGAATTTCTTCAGCAAATAGCTGAAGACTGCAAACCAACCCTGTGAGTGCTTGAGGTAGTTTAAGGGAAGCAGAAAACAGGACAGGAGATAAGTGAGAGACGTGTGAAGGGAAAAGGTGTGATGGAAGGGACAAGGTAAGGCTGGCGTAGAGAAGGAAGGTCTCAACTTCATTTTCACAGTGGGGGGGCAAATCCGTTTTGGAACCGTGACATTTGGCGTAACAGGATCCTGTCAGCGGGCGAACCGCGGGGCCTCGTGCTCGCGGATGCTAAATGTTAGGTTGCGAACCCATGGCGATGGGTTAGGATGTCATGTGTGACACAGCATGCATACATTCAGGCAGGCACTGTACTTATAACCCAGTGTGCATGCGGAATAAGAGACACTGACATGGTAAGGATAAAAGAGATTTTAGGTGAGTAGGTGGCAGGTATGACAGGCTTATCATGCACCCTTTTCTTCCCTCTGTCTTTTCTGTCTTTCTTTCCATCACTCCATCAACCCCCTTCCCCCTCACTTCTCCCCCAGGTGGTGCCATTAATATTGTTGGAGAGAAGGTCATGCAGTTGATCAGCAGTTCCTGTTTGCCTGGTGGGCAGTGATGAGGGTACGTTATACTCTATATGGCTGCAATTATGGAAGTTTAACAGTGTATGCTTATAATCTGGCAACTCAATGTGTGAGTAATTACCACACTCCATGTGCAATTATGCAGCTCTTGTCTGCATGTTCGTGGGAACACCTACGCACATGCATAAACATGTCTTCTTGCCGCTCTCATGGCGTCAAGTGGGCATCTTGCATCTATGTGTGTAGGCAAATAATCAAGTGCCAAAAGCGTGGCACAATAGCGAAGATAAAGGAATGTGGATGGATTATGTCCATTTTGGACAAGCGCCGATCAGGACAGCCAACAGTTGTTGGCTCTGCACAAAGCCAGGGTTCATTTCCTAAAGGGCTTTCAGGATAAGTCCTTTATAGCAGCCAAGATAAGCTGAGAAAAATCCAGTGGCTGATCCAACGCAGCCGTCTCCTGCAGCAAAGGGAAGGGGATCTCCATTGTATGGTAGGGTTGATGAATAATCTAACTCAGAAAATTGACAAGTATGTCAAAACCTCTGGCTTTAGCTCTCAAGTGGATAGTATTGGGTGAGTTTACTCTTTAAATGTTGAATAATAAATTCAGTAGTAGATGATGATCTACTGAAAAAAACGCGCAAAAACTGTTGATGTTTTGGAACCGCCTTTACACATTGGTAATCTATCAATAATTCAAACCTTCTTTGTGGACCTGCATAGATTTTTCAAAGTTCTGTTAAATGAACTTTTCAAACATAAAGAATGTTGTTCTGACTTTATTGTTGACACAATGCCACCAGGCAGGTTCAATTCATTAATACCAATGGATGATATGGGACAAAAATGACAGAAGTTCTAAATGTCTCAGAATTCAAAGGAAAATAAAGAAATTGGAATTGGTAAAGGAGCATGTAAAGACACAGACCACAAGACTGAAGGAGTACAGTAGCAGAAATTGCAGACAAGGGAGGTAGGGAATGATAAAAGAAAAAAAGACAGACAAGAAAGAAAGAAAAAAAGACATAATTAAGGAATGGCAGAAGTAAGAAAAAAGCAGGAAAGGCCAACAATGAAAAGGCACAAAGATGAAAGACAGGTAAGATAAATGGAAGGAAAGATATATAAAGAACAAAATATAATCTCACAAGGAGTGAATGGTAGTCAAAAGGAAAGATGGCAATAAAAAAGACACAAGAAACGAAAAACTTAAGGAAAGACAACAAAAGAAAGAAAAACAATTAGGCAAATGGAGTGATGACATTATCATTTTTAGCAATAATCTCAGCAGAAAACCTGATCCACTTCCTTCAACCCATTCTGTTTTAGTTGCTTCCATTCTTTCACTCACTTCGCCATCTTATTCTTTCCTCATTCTGGCAGCTGATTCTCTCCCCCCCATCTCCTCCCTTCACATTTGGCCCACTCCGAACCGCCTGCCATCACCATCAAAGCTCCCGCTGCCTCCCAACTGTTAGCACCCCACCATGTCGCTAATAAAAAGCCTGAGTTATAAATATGAACAGAGGAGCATGCATATGCCCTAAAGGAGGGCCCAAAACACCACTAAACAGATAAATGTAATGGGGAGGATACGGCTCATTAATTTTAGGACGATCGTGTTTGGTTTTTACAGATGCCATGATGGAGACAAGGTGCTATGAATAATATTTGAAGCTCATAGTAGAAAGGGTTGAAAAGGGCAAGACTTTTAAGAGGCCCCTGAGCAGGAGGGGGTGATGCAGCACTATTGTTAAATGTGGAGGCTGGGGGGGTGGGATGCTGTCGCATCTTTTAAGAGATGACTTATGATTCCCTGCAGTGCCTTCTTTGTTAAGTTGCATAATTTCGGATTAAATACAGTAGGTTTCTATTTGCCTGCTCAGATTAATGGTTTATGGAAAATAGAACATTTTTCTCTATATGTCACATCCTGAATTTTCTCAATGCCAAATCTGCTTTTACATCGAATGCTCCAAAATTATGCATGAAAACTAAATGTTCTAAAAACTGCATAAATGCTGGTCATTTTAGGAAGACTATGAACTACTACTTTCTCAAACTGCTTTCTTTAACAGTTTACAGCAGGTTGTTGGTAACAGATTGATTCATGTCCATGCTGAATGCTACTCAATTTATCTAAATTCCTGTTTTTATGGAGGGTCTGGTCCAATATTTCTTGCAGCATTTTATTTGCCCTATTTGCATGATACATACATTTTCTAATTTCCCCCTATGCTGTGAGTTTACACCTGTCAGTCAACAGAGTAACGGTATAAAGATTTCTGCTTTCGCGTTGTCGCTAAACTTGACAAAAAAACAGAGAAAAGAAATTAGGTTTATCTCATGTTACTTTTTAGGGGGGAAAGAGTTTCTGGAGGGGATCTGAAAAGTCCTCAAGTATAAGTTGACAATATTGGATTAGATTTTCTTCATTACTGTGAGAAGAGCAGAGCACTGCAGCCACAGTTCGCTTCATACAGTAGCCAGTTTCACAGCACGGTGGATAGTAGCCAGCTGTCTTTGTTTTTCTAAATATATTTGCTAATGGTGTTAGTTCTAGCTAACAGTAGACCACAAGTCGATCACATTTGTTTGTTTCAATAGTAACAGCTAAGAAAAAAGTGTTGAAGATGTGATATTGATTCGATTTTGCAGCAGGACATTCCAAGTGGTTCTGAGTTATTATGAATCAAGCAGGCTTATTTTTACACAAATATAATTTAGTAGCACATGGCAGTACTCTTATTTATAGCAAGCTAAAACCCATATCTATGTGGCGATGTCAGGAGTTTACTTTAATAACTACCTTAACATTATATAATGGAAGGAAACATTGATGGGTGGTCGGGAACATCTGGAATTTTGTTTTGTGGTTGAACCATCAGCCGGTTTGAGCTCATGAGAGGGCAGTGATGGTGAGAAATATGGAGGCATTACACCTTAAAGGTCAGAAGCATCCAGACCTCTAGCCAACAGCATCAAACTCTGAGCCATAGAGTTTTTAGCTAATATGACCACAGCAGCAAACACATAGCGGGGAAACACAGGTTGCTGCAAGTCTGGTACAGATGGTATAACCAATTATTAGCTAATAAATATAAATTAGTTTAATGAACATGATTTTCAAATCAATCATCCACTGCTGTTACAAGAAATGACTTAGTAT